TGACAAATTTTAGCTCCTTCAGAGCCGAGGGCCTCACAGGATTCGTGGCTTGCAGGGGATGATGCGCACAGCTTCTATTAATTAGGAAGGTGATATCACTGGATCAGTGACCTCTGACAACCCACAAAACATCCCGTTTTTCAAGTATCGCTCACTCGGCTCAATTTTATTTTTCAACGTTTATTTATTTTTGGGACAGAGAGAGAGAGAGCATGAACAGGGGAGGGGCAGAGAGAGAGGGAGACACAGAATCGGAAACAGGCTCCAGGCTCTGAGCCATCAGCCAAGAGCCCGACGCGGGGCTCAAACTCACGGACCACGAGATCGTGACCTGGCTGAAGTCGGATGCTTAACCGACTGCGCCACCCAGGCGCCCCTCGGCTCAATTTTAAATTCAGGAGAAAGTCAACTCCTTGACAAGGGAAAAGCCGAGCAGGAGGGAAAGCAGATACAGGTCTTATCAGCCATCACTTACTTTTCTGTTGGTGGAAAACCCAGGGTCAGGGATGGGGTTCTTGGAAAAGTAACACGCCTTTTGGGGAGTGGGAACAAGGGGGAGGTGGGGTGATCTAGCAGGGGTTTATTTTGGGAACTGAGAATTCCCAGCTCTGTTCCTACTGAAATGTGCAGTTACAGCAGCAGAGACTGAGTTTCCTGAAGTTACTGTCTGCCAGGCTCCCTGGATGGTAGCGTAGCAGACGCCTCCCTGTCTTCGCCGTGTCAAAGAATCAGAGGGTCTTAGGGTTCAGAAGCAACCTTGAAGGTTACCTGGTCTGAAGCGAATACAGCTAAGTCACAGGATAGAAGATCAGGTTACAGAAATCAGCTGTAGTTCTAGATGATGACAAAAACACAGCTGGAAATGACATTACACAAGAACAAGCCGTTTTCACGTTCCTGAGTCCTGCGTAGCCCGCACTGAATGTGGATAAAGTGGCCACAAGACACCAGGTGTCGTCTGACGAGCCACAGGGACAAGTTGCTGGGAGGGACAACCAGGCGGCGGGAGGGACGAGGAGAGTTCCGGAGCGTGGGGCAGAGCCGGCCCCGTCTGGGCACATATCTCCCGGGATGGCCCTGGACGAAGTGACAGAGGCTGGGGCACCTTCCCCCTACCTGAGCTCCGTGGGGGGGCCAGCTCACACCTTTGCCCGCGACCCGCCTGGAAGGGCTTCTGCTTTCCCGAGTTCCCCCCTCTGGTCCCCTGGGAGCCCACCAATTCCTGGCTCGGTGGCTGCTTCTGGGAGCACAAGCGAAGACACTCCTTTGTAAAGATTTATGCACAAATACGCACACTAGATACCTATGTGTGTATATACTTATCACATTGGATGTAATCTGATCATTATGTCGACTGTATTGTCCAGGACTTTTCACGCATGATTAGGTCACATTGGTACAAAATTAGCTGTGACAAGCACACTTTTAATACCAAAATGATTGGGTTCAAAATTTTTCTACTAAAAGAGACCAACAGAGCTCTCTCTCAAGAGATGATCTACCTTAGTCCTTTTTTTCTTTTTAACCAGTATTATTTCAAATTAATTTATTGTACATTCTACTACGTAACTAAGAGAAAAGCTCGGGGTATCCTGAGGGAGGATAGTTTAGTTTAATGGTTAATAGCTCAGGTTCTAACATGCGAGACAGACCCCGCCTCTTACCAGCTGTGTGAACTAAGTTATTGAATTCTAGAATCTATGGATTAAACTGTTCATTTAAGCTCTTTGACTCCAGAACGATCGCCCTTATCTGGAGGAAGAGAGCGGTTTATGGCACGTTCTTTCCACGGCTGCCACGGGGACCGAGAACGTGGACGACAGCAATGTGCGGGCACGACACACCACGTGCGGAGCGTGGGGTGTCGCTGGGCTTGTCCCCGAGGTGGAGGCATGCCAGCCGTCCGTGCGAATGGTGCACACTTACTTGTAACGTTGTATCAAACACCACAAGCTTTGAACTGGTGGGAACGATGTCGTAACACTTGTGTGACCTCATGAAGCGCATGTAGACGCCACTCTCTGAGTCTTCTGCTGAAAAGGAAAGAAAAAAGGCAGATGTCAGTAGTGACAAAGGACTTCCTCATCAGCTGAAGAGTACGTATGAGAGACCTGCAGCTACCAGACTTCATGGAAACCGTGAGCGGTCTGCCGCGTAAGAGTGAGAAGGCAAAGACGTTCACTCGTGCTGATTCTTTCTGTTCAACACCGCTGGACGCCCTCACCGGTACGGAAAGGCAAAGAGAAAACCAAAGGCGTACGGACGGCACTGGAGAAAGAAAAACTGTATCTGCAGACTGTATGATTTTTTTTTTACACAGAAAGTACCAAAGAATCTACAAAAAGTTCCCAGGCCTAAAAAAAAAAAAAATGAGGTTAGCAAGGTCACGATACAGCGTTAATGAAAACAAACATGTAACTTACAAACAAATACATAATCTACATAATTGCTCAGTGGAAACATGGATCTACACAGGGAGACAAAGCGCTGAAAACAGTAACTATGTGGCCATGTACGCAGATTATTTAAATCTTCATAAATGTTAATTGACAGTTGGTGAAAGGGACGGCAGTGATTCCTGGGGGGTTACGGCACATTCGTACCGTGGGGGGTACGGCGTATTTGTACGTGAACTGCCCGCCACCACCATCCAACCGATGATGCAGAAATCTGGGCTTCCTCCTTGTCCCGCCGCCTCCTCCACCCTCACCCATTTGTCACGACTCACTGCAGAGTTTACCACAAATGTCTCCTAATCCGTCCACGTCCCTCTACCTCCACGGCTGCTGGCCTGGCTCCGACAAACGCCCTAACTTCCTGACTGGTCTCTCTGCTTTTGGTCTCGTTCTCTTCAACGGCTGCCCACACCGCGCCCAGAATGGATTCGGTCACGTCACCCCTCTGCTGAAAACACTTCAACGGCTTTCAGGAAAGACAAAATCCTTCAAGACCCGGCCTGAAAGACGCATCCCCTCCGGATCCCCAGCCTCGTCTGCCAAGTGCCTGCGCCCCAGTGTCCCCGCAGCTGCGAGGCCTTCTCTTAGTCCCTCCTAAATGCGACGCTCTCTCCTTCTACAGGAGCTTCAACCACCCTCTCCTCCGTCTTCAACACTCTGCCCATCTCTTCTTGGCCCCGTGAAATCCTCCCGCGCTAGAGCTCAGCTCGAGGACACGACGGGGAAGTTGCGGAACCGGAATTTAGACCCGGATGCCCTCTAGATTCCAAAGCTGTGATCCCAGCCGGGGTGATGGATCGCCCGCCGCCCCCGCCGGCAGCGGCCTTGCTGCTAACCTGTCCTCACGGTTCAGCTCTAAGTAGAGACCTCCGAGAGACTTCTCTGACAACTTCGCTCAGCCCACACTGATCTGTACATTTGGGGAAGATTAAAACTACCTGGGGGGAAAAATTACTTTATTGTATTTAGGAATGAGCAAAAGAAGTGTTCAACAGCATGACACTGAGCAAGTTCCTCGACTGTGGAAGGAGCCCTTGGTATTCTGGTATTTCCTACTATCATAAACGCTCAGTATATGCCGCCTGGTTTGCCAATTTCGTGACAAACCACGTGAACACCCCCAAATCTCTGTGTTCACTCCTGACCCCTCTCCCAGGTACCATACTTCGTAATTCTACCATTCCCGTCACCTCCCGGCCAGCTCCCTCCTCCAGTATCTCCCCTCCTGCGCGTGGGATAGTCCGGCGTCTTGGTCTGGCGTTCACGAGCCTCCGTGGTCTGGCTTCTCTGTTTTCCCGCCTCACGTCCCCACATCAGCAAGCGGCTCCCTGACAAGTTCCCTGCCGGATTTAGTCTCACTTTCTGGCTTGTCTGTTCCGCTTTAACTTCAACGTCTTTCTCTACTTTTCCTTGTCCCGTTTCAGCCCAGCCTCAGATGCCAAATTATCCACAAAACAGGTGAACGTTTGAGTGTTCACTACGGGCTAAGGATTTTTATATTGTACGCTAAGTGTTACAATCAATTACCTCCTTCAATTTATAGAACGACTCTGAGGGCAAACGCCTTAATTTCTTCGCTCTGCACACGAGCCGACGGGAGGTGAGGAGGGGCTGAGGAACTGGCCTAGAGTCAGCACTTAGAAGTAACCAAAGAGGGATCCAAATCCACGTCCGAGAGAGACCCCGACGCGTCTCAAGAGAACTCCGCAGTTTCAACTATGCACGCACGCACGCACGTCCGACCGACGCCCGGGACGTGCTATGGTCCACACCCTGTGTCCCCGCTGAGACATAAAGATGAACAGCACAGGCGCAGTCTCTGTCCCCCATGCTCACGCGCTGGTGGAGAAGGAGGGCACCTGGACAGACGCCGCGTGGCAGGAGAAACCCTGGACCGCGTGAGGTCACGCGGGCGCACAATCCCCCCAGGGCCACAAAGGCAAGGAAGTCTAACCCCCTCCCCTTCTGAAGGCGTACCGACGTCCACCTGGGTTTCTCATCGGCTGTCCCTTTACAGCTCGTTCTCGGCGATCCGTGCAGCCCGAATACTCTCCTCCTTCTGGGGCGCTCCCTCCTTCGAACGACCGGGATCTTACTCATCCACTGCCTTTGTTCATTCAGCGAGTAACTACCGCGTGCGGTCTCAGTGTGGGTTCTCCCGGAGCGGGTCAGTTCGGATTTGCACGAGGCTTCTCTCATGACCTTGGTCTCGGGGTTATGTGTTTTGGGCAGAAGACCGACCGCAAGGTAAGGCGCCATCTCGCCCCACCGCATCAACGGCACCTGCCGTCGACACGACTTCCCACGTGGCTCGGTAGCGTCTGTCGGTTTCTCTCCAGCGGTGACTTTCTCCTCCTTCCGCGCGGCAGCCTTTGCGAGGAAGTCTGCACGCGCGGCCCACATTCAAAGGGTCAGGCGTTATGGGCCACCTCCTCGAGGGGAGGGCATCTACCTGAATTACTCAGAACTCTTCTGCACGGGACTATCTACCTGTCTGTATCAGCATGGATTCCTAACGTTCATTTTATACTCTGACTTACAAACCTACACCGCACGGGGAGGGGTGAGGAAGGCCGCGGGGCGCCCACCCTCCCCGCCGGCGGATGTGTGCGTGGCTGGGGAGCAGGCTCCGCGTCCAGACGGCCTCCCGCCCCGGCTCTGACGCCCCGCGGGCGCCCCCAGGGCTTCCCTGCTCACACACACGGCCTCCACGTCAGCGGGGAGTTTGTGGAGAGCTGGGCTCGCTGAGCTCTTTCTCCGTGCGTGCTGCCTCGGCCGGCGGTGGTGGCGCGACGGCGGCTCCCCCGGTCCCTGCCCCAACACACACCAGCCTCCGCGACAGGAGAGACGCGTCTCCTCCGTCACCAGTGTCTTTCATCAGTATGGCGCTTCTGTGACGGTTCACGAGCCGGTAAGGCAACGACGAACAAACTGTCACCAGAAGTCCACGCGTTATTCAGCAGGCCCTAGTTTTTCTTCCCCCCCAGGACGGCACAGGACATTCAGCCCTGGCTCGTCAGGCCTCTCGGCTGAGGGTTTTGAGAAGGACCTACAACATTTTAAAAATTTTTATGTATTTTTTTACTCAGAGAGCGTGAGTGCACGGATGAGTGAGCGGGGAAGGGGCAGAGAGAGGGGGAGAGAGAGAATCCCAAGCAGGCCCTAGGCGGTCAGCACAGAGCCCGACACGGGGCTCAAACCCACAAACCGCGAGATCATGACCTGAGCTGAAGTCAAGAGTCGGACACGTAACCGGCTGAGTCACCCAGGGGCCCAAACGTTTTTTTTAAATGTGAGAAGCTTGGCCAAAGAAAGCAAGATGTTAAATATATAAAGCACATTATGACAAAATTTGATCCTGTAATAAGGACAGATTATTACTGTTGCGATAAAACGGCATGAATAACAAAAGTATTCGTAACTTAAGTTAGGAAAATCAAGCAAAATATTATAAAACGTCGTGGTTTCCCTCCACGGAGTGTAAACTTTCAGATCATCGGCAGCACCACTCGTATTATTTACGCTCTGATGAAGTCTCCAATCTCAAGTGAAGAAAGAAATGGGATGAAACAGAAAGTAAGAGGGCTGTGGAATTAAAGTAAAAAGAAAAAAACCCCAAACCCAAGACCATTCAACGAGAACAGGTTGTCTGGAACGCGTGATTCAAGTTCTCGAGAACGCAAGGAGTTCGGACTCCCACTACTCGCAGGGAGCCCGGGGTTACGACGGCATCGGTGTCCCGTTCCTCATTCCTGGCCCTGCTGTTCCAGGTCGTCCCGGCACGGGACCAGAATTACGGAGCATCACGCTGGCGCTTGAGTTACTGGGTCTGGAAGGACCCCTCCTCCGAGGACGCGCTGACCTACCGCTGGCCGAGCGGCTGCCGAAGGGGACTGCTGGGAAGCAGAAACTGGGGTGAGGGGTTCGATTTCTGAAGGTTAAGGAAAGAATTCGAAGAACGCAGCAACTAAGTGTAAACGCGACCGCACACACGCGGGGTGGGAAAGCGTGAAAGCCAGCATTTCCTAGGGCAGGTCCGACTCCGTCCCCCCGACAAGCCCTCGCTACCTCACGACACGCTACACGTCGTCGCACAGCACAGGGTCTCCACCACCTGACCCCATTCCCCCCTCCCGGCCTCCTCTCCGACCACGCCCTCCGGGAATCGTCCACTCTCAGGCCGGACTGACCCTCCCTTCCAAAGGATTCTGTGAAGTGTGGGAAGTTCAGCCCGGGGAATGCACTCCTTGGGCTCCCGCCTCTGCTCTGCGCTGTCCTGTATCCTGGAAGCGCGCTCTGCCATCCTGTGTTTGGCCCACTGAAATCCCACCTGCCTTCTGGCAGCTGAATAGTGGCTCCCCAAAATCTGTGCCCAGCTGGAACATCAGAACGAGACTTTGTATTTGGAGTCAGGGCCTCTGCGAGTGAAATGACAGCAAGGAACGGGAGATGAGACCGGCCTAGATTAGGTTGGGCCCTAAATCCAAAGACCAAGACCTATAAACCACAGAAGACGAGACACAGATGGAGGCGGCCACGGGAGGACGAGGCAGGGGCTGAGTCATGCAGCCACGGGC